ACGTAACTAATACCGAATCCATTTAGACCGACAAACAGATAGCGGCACCGACTTTACACCGTTCGCATATCACACACATTCGTCTTAATCGATCAACAATTTGAAACTACAGCAGCGCCCTTTGACAGCCTGACACTCTTAGTAATCTATCTATGCGCGCGTTAATGTTTATTTCTAAATAATTTCTGTTTGTACTATTTTAGCACGTGCATAAACAACATTGGATTTATTCGATTTCTGTTCATTTTCTTTTGAAGTTTAAATAGATCTTACTTAGTTGCTTCACTTTTTACAAAAAAAAAAAAAAAAAAATATATATATAGGTGCGTTTATAATTATTTTAAAGAGTTGCTTACAAAAATTTGTCGTGATTAACAACCGCTATACTTATTCCCGCTACACTCATTAAGCGATGCACACAAACGCATACTCGTCGAAAATGTTCTGTTGTTGTTATCAAGCTTATGAGGAAAAAATTGAAAGTTGTATCTCTAGTATATGTGAGAAGCTTATTGTTGTTGTTGTTGTTATTGTATTTGCTGCTTATGCCAGGTAATCCATTGTTAATCCTCGCTCAAGAGAGTCGACTCTGATAACTGAAATTGATCCTATACTATTTCGCTTTGTTGTCCCTGTTGCTTCTTCAAATTGCATTCGTTTATTTTTGTTATCTGATTCTTTAAACTTTTCAAAGATTTAATCCTTAACATATCCCAAATCTTTTCTTTAATTTTAGTTAGTTTTGATTGTTTTCTTTATAAGAATAGAGTTCGGATGAAAGCAGCAAAATTCAGGGATATTCCATATTTTCCATATAATCAATTTTCAAATTGTGCGTTATTTAACGATTTTTTTCTTTTCTCTTTGTAGAACCTTTAAAACTTTAATTAGCAGACTGCAGCAGACTGAGATATTTCTGCTTATTTTTCTTTTAAAAGTGTTTTTAAATATGACTCTTTTTTTTTTTTTTAAATTATTATTACGAAAATATCAAATCAAATTTCCCTCACTTCATCGCTTATGACAAAATAACCGCCTGATCCGCACATTGTATACATTTACGTATATTATTTCGCACAAGTTCTCGCGTCAACAAATTTACACATCTTTACCGTTTTTACCGTCTTTATCGTTCAAATGTTCAAAAGCAAATGAAAATGGAAAAATGTGAACAATGAACATAATGAACATGATGAACATGCAATCGACTGAGACTACTGAGAGACTGTAGGAGCAACAACGATGGCAAAACACGAACAAGTTAGCTGCTTGATTAGCTAAAGATGAGGGTTATATTCATTTTAACAATATGTTCGCAACAGTTAGAAGGAAGCTTAGCTTCATAGATCCCATAGAGTATATTTATTCTCATCAAATTCCATTTTCTGATTTCTATATGCTTACGCGCATTTAAAACAATATAATAAATATTCATAATTATATTATTGTATTCCACTCTAAGGGCTCTTGCACTCTGAAGAGACATTTTGTTTTCAAAAAAATTCATAGAAAGCCAAATGAGACATAAAATATAACATTTCTCATCACATTATGTTCATTTCATTTTTATATAAAATATTATTATTTTCTCTATTCGGACTATTCTATCAATAGATATAATAATAAAATATAAGCATTTTTTCAAAACTAGTGAGCTACCTGGACTAGATACTATTTACTTGAACTTTATTAGATCTTCAAGATTGTTCTTTGTCTTTGATAAAGCAACCAATTCCTTTTGCATGATCATGCATTAATAATTTCGATTATAAAGCATTATTAAATGAAAAAATCTCGGAGAGATGCTGCGCAGCAAAAAGCTCATGGAGAGTCAATACCAATCTTAAGTGCTTTTATAGCTTTTGTGAGTTTAGTGGCAGGGAGTATGAGGAGTGTATTTATAGATCTTTTTCATGACAACGTAAATGTATGAAAAGTTATGGGCGTTAATATCCGCAACCAACGTTATCCGATATTATCCTTTATTGTGATCCTTTCTGAATGTGTATGGAACGTAACAAATATTGGCAACATTCGAAGGATATTTTTAAAACGCGAATGAATTCTCTGTTTTCTTTGTTATATAAAATAACATTACATTAATATCGATTAATATCAAAAATTGCAAAAATGTAAATTTAAGACAAGATTGAAATTATTATGATTAATTTTAAACATTAAAAAGTGAATATTAAGGAAATAAAAATAAATACAAAATCATTTATTAATTTAAACAAATTATACTTTTTACATTTATTTTATTTTAATTTTCTTTTAATTTTTTTAAAATGTTCTAAATGTATAGCATGGACGCATGGATATGTATGAATGCGCTGCATGTGTTTTGTTTTGTTATTTAAACTTCTTTCTTTTTAGATTTGCTTTGCTGTTGTCTTTGCTGTATATTTTTATGAGAGTACTTTTGGCTTTTCTAAGAGTAAAATTTACTTTGCTGTACATTCTTATGAGAGCCCTTTTGACTTTTCTGAGAGTAAAGGTTGCTTTTACCATATATTCTTATGAGATCCCTTTTGATTTTCTCAGAGTAAAATTTACTTTGCTTTGTGTTCTTATGAGGTCCCATTTGATTTTTCTGAGAGTAACATTTACTTTACTGTAGGATCTTCCAAAAATCCTTTTGATTTTTCTGAGAGTAAAATTTACTTTGCTATGTGTTCTTATAAGTCCTTTTTGACTTTTCTGGGAGTAAAATTTACTTTGCTGTATATTCTTATGAGATCCGTTCTTATTTTTCTGAGAGTAAGATTTGTTTTGCTTTGTGTTCTGGTGGGACGCGAAGACTAAAAAACTTTCTTCAAAATGTTTTTGCCTTCTTTGCCTACCTTTTTATTTTATTTTTGATAATAAAGTAAGGTGAGCAGATTTTAAAGTTTTAAAATAAATTGTTTGAATAAATGTTGTGTCTGATATTAATATATCGTATTAAAAATAACATTTTAGTTAAACAGACTCATTAGAACTACAAAAGAATTAAAATCTATCAAAATTTGGAAAAGAGAATTTATTATTGTTTCAATTGATTACAAGTTATTCATTCATTGTTCGGCTGCTGAAAAAAAGTGTAACGAATAACCAAACAAGAAGTAAACAAAATAAAATAAAATTAGCCCTAACATTATTTTTATTCTTAAGATTAGAAACAGTGAAAATAGTCCAAGTTAAAAAAGTACAAAAGAAGTGAAGTCAAACAAAGCCAACATACATGTTTTTTTTTTATTTTATTTTTATATTCCATCTTTTTAGAAGACGTTATGTAAAATTTTGTCTTTTTTGAGAATAAAATTTTCTTTGCTGTCTTCTTGTTGTTGTCATGCTTTTTGAGAGCGAAATTTTGTCTTTTTTGAGAGTAAGAATTTATTTGATTTGTTTGCTATATGTTCTTATGAATGGCTTTTTTGAGAGTAAGGTTTTGCTTTGTTGTGTGTTCTTTTTGTTGTTGTCGTGCTTTTTGAGAGTAAAATTTCATTTCATTCGTAAATCGACTGGAATTTCGTTTAATAATCATTCGTGTAATGGTAAGATTCTTCGTTACTTCGTAAGATTTGTATTGAGTTGCATGCATATCTGCAGTTGCTGTAACAAGTTCGTACCAAGCGAAGTTGGTATAAACATAAAACATTTTGGTTCGAACTGAAGCGAAATAGTTTGGGAAAATTGTATCTCCCACAGTAAAATGTAAACAGTATGAGTGTTAGCAGAGAAATGTTAAATGTATATGAAAGAAGGGAGGAATGAACATTTTTTTACAGTAAAACATGTTAGACAAATCGACTTGTCCAACTCGTCATTCTGCTGAATTATCGAACTCGACTAATTTTATGGCGCTTTTGTTTTAAACATAACGTTCATTTAAAATGTCGTTATTTTGTTTTCATAAGGACGAAATGTGAATAAGTAATTGTAAGGATTGTTTTGAAAAACAAAAGGCATAAGTGCGATTACAAGGCATAATCTTATCATTCGACGCATATGAAAATATTTCATTTAAAAATAAGAAGAGGAGTATGTGAAATAGTAATCAAATATAATAATATTTTTTTTTT